CCCAGGGTAGGAGCCAGCACCACTTCCCTTGGAAGTTGGTTCCAGATCATAGCCGCCCTAACTATGAAGTAGTTCCTACGGATGTCTAATCTGAACCTACTCTCCAGCAACTTGTGGCTGTTATTCCTTGTTATCCCGGGGGGCACTAGGGGAAACAGGTCTCCCCCAAACCCTTCTGGTCCCCCCTAGTGAGTTTATAGATGGTCACAAGGTCCCCCCCCTCAGCCTTCTCTTGTGAAGGCTGAACAGGTTCAGGTCCCATAGCCTCTCATTGTAGGGTCTGCCCTGCTGTTCCCGGATCATGCGGGTGGCCCTCCTCTGGACCCTCTCAATGTTGTCCACATCCCTCTTGAAGTGGGGTGCCCAGAACTGGACACAGTACTCCAGCTGCGGCCTGACCAGTGTCACATAGAGGGAGAGGATCACCTCCTTGGCCCTACTTGAGATGCACCTGTGGATGCACGACAGGGTCCAGTTAGCCCTGCCGACCATGACCTCACATTGTCGGCCCATGTTTGTCTTGGAGTCAGTGATGACTCCAAGATCCCTTTCTGCCTCCGTGCTCTCAAGAAGGGAGTTTCCCATCTTATAAGTGTGTTGCCGGTTACTACTGCCCAAGTGCAGCACCCCGCACTTGTCCGTATTGAAACGCATCCTGTTTTTGTTAGCCCACCCTTGCAACCTATCCAGGTCTTTCTGCAGTCTTTCCCTCCCTACTAGCGTGCCCACCTCACCCCAAATTTTGGTATCATCAGCAAATTTGAACAGGTTGCTTTTCACCCCGTCGTCCAAATGATTGACTTGCATATTTAAGTGCTAATTACCAGGAATTATAATCAAAATAGTAGCAGATTCTGAACTGCAATGGAACCTTTAACATAATTTTGGAAAGATTGGGGGTACAGAACTCTTAAGCAAATTCCCGCTGGTAACCCCTCATATGTCATGGACATAGGACATGTTTATGCTGATTTTGTACACATAGGTACATTACACAAGGGTCTGGAGCAGTCGGATGTACTTCAGACAGCTGTCTTGAAGTAGTGGCACACAGTAGCCAGCTGTCATTGTGCCTTGCCACTAGGTGGCAGAGGAACATGGAGTAGCCTCTTGTCATGTGTGAATGGCTGCCCTGGGATAAGCTGTGGACAGAGGAACCTTACACCACCATGTAACATAGATCAGTGGAATGTTACCTCTTATTTTTCACAGGGTGACTCTTCTATGCATGTTGTCTGCTCCTTGTTTACACTGATAAAAATGGATTGCGTGTCCAAGCCCTAACTTTAAGTAATAACATACCCATGTACACAGGGGTGTAGGTTATAGCCGTGTTGGTCTAAGGACATAGGCAGACAAGGTTCTTTGGATGAATCTGATCTCTTTTATTAGACCAACTTAAATAGTTGGAAAACAATTATTAAGCAAGCTTTCGGGTTCAAAAACCCTTCGTTGGGCTAAGGAAGTTTCAGCAGTTGGTGTGTGCTTTTCCTGGATGGAAGGAAAAGGACAGGGAGAGCACACACCAACTGCTGAAACTTCCTTAGCCCAACGAAGGGTTTTTGAACCCGAAAGCTTGCTTAATAATTGTTTTCCAACTATTTAAGTTGGTCTAATAAAAGAGATCAGATTCACCCAAAGAACCTTGTCTGCCCATGTACACAGACAGGGGCTTTTCTTTCCCTGTATTCACCACTGAGGTTCATCCACAAAACTTACTAGGAATAAATTGTTATCTTTCCTGTTGGTACGTTTCTTTTCCATTGCCAAAATGTCATGTGCAGTTTATTAATTCCTATCTCTGTGGCAGCTAGGCAGGCTACAATTATAGAGATTACCTTAAAAATTAGCACAAACAAGAGCTAAAAGCAAAAGCTAATCATCATTCAAATGTTAAACCAAATAAAGACCTTACATGGTGTCAGTGAAGGTTGTTGAATTGTGGCTCTGACAGGCTGCCAAGGAAAGCAAATTCCAGAGGTGGAAAACTGATGGCAAAAGCCTCATCTCAGCTGCAGCCAGTCTGAACTGGGATATAGGGTGCAAAACAGTTGGTTACCAAACAATCAAATCCTAAGCCATTTTGGGCTTGTAAAATAACTGCTCACACCTTGAATTGTACAAGAAGGCAAACAGAAAGCCAGCTTGTGGGCACATGAGCAGATTTTGAGGCCGGAGTAGTTTTGCTGGTCTAGATTTTGTTAGATATTCTAGACAAAAGAGGAAAGAGCTTTTTTCCCACCACATAGCAATGTGTATGCTCTTTGTTACACACAGTCCACCTGAAGGAGTCTTACTCTGCTAGTGATGCAAACTTCTTCCCTGCCACTTTGTCATAGATCATCTGATGCCCTGGTAACAGCAAGGACAATGCAGAAAAAGAGTGTTCAGGAGTCTCTTAGTAATTCTGTAGCAGATGATTAAAACATTCTGCTTGGCAATCAGTGGACTGACTTGAAGACATGAATGAACTGACTTGAATGCTTGGATGCTGACTTCTGTCTGATTCAGAGATGTCTAGTTTGTGCCTCTCTCACAATCAAAGGCCAGAGGCAGTTCAGATTTGTTTGCCATCTGCCCCTGTCTGCAGTTCAGTGTTTATATTTTTCCATCATAATCCTGGTTCATGCAACTGTTTTTTAGGGGTAGCAAGAAAACTCTGTTTTCCATTGATTCCTCTCTTAAGAGGATTGATGTTCCTGAAGCTTTTTCTATGAATTGTTCCAGCCCCAATCACGCCAAAGTAGGGCAAATGGTAACTTAAGGGCAAAGGGGTGCTATATGATTCTTCTCAGGAGCCATAGAAAGGAATCTTTGTCTTGCTCAGGGAGGGAAAAGTCTTCAAATCTAAACTCTGGGTTTTACATCCTTATTTCACCATGCAACCCAACAACTGGAACTCCTCCAGAAGCATCTTCACAGAGATGGGACAGTTCTCTTCAGATATGGGTACCTGGCAAACTGGGCCATCCTCACTGATCATGGCCCCTTCAGGGACACCTTTAAAAATTCCCCTGATGCTTGGCATTACAATCCACATTTAACAAGAGAAGTTCCAGGGGCTCATCCCAGGATTTCAAGTGGATGAATGAGTTGTTTGGCAAGTAGATCGTTCTTTCTGTGTCTGCTTTTTTAGAGGAAAATCTCACACCCATGAGATCTGGCCCAGCAAAATTAGTTGCTTCCTCTTTTGTTTCCAGGTGGTACGGATGGTGATTCTTTTTTTTTTTTCCCAAAGCCCAAAATGTTCTGGGATATTCTGTGACATTGTCTTCACAATCTTGTGTCAGGTGGTGAAGAAGGATGGGACTCAAGTCACTTAGTCTTCCAGCCTGGGACTTAAAAGGGAAAATTAGTCAAGAAGAGGCCATTTATCATCTGGGGACTAGGCCATTTCCACCCCCTTTTCAGATGACAGCTTATGATATAAGATGGGCACTGGGACATTGGTGAATGGTTGGGGTCTTGTAGAGTCCTGTGGACTGTTGGAGAGAGTTTCTAGTATTTTTCTTATGATTTTAAGATCATCTCATGCCTTTTTGGCAGCACCTTGGAGGTGAAAGATGTTAACAACTGTGTAAAGCTGCCACCCACACCATTATAAAGAGAGCTACAGACCTTTGTATGCTGACAGAAGCATCTTTTGGTAGGAAAGATACTTCGAGTGGCCCCCTTTATCTAGATTAGTGCCACTAAGATAAATGTAGTTCCTGTAAAATGAGCCTTGCACAGCTCACTTGCCATAAATAATATTCCCATACTGCTCTCTGTGTCTCCTGTGTCCTGGGCTTTGTTGAGGAAGGTCAGGATCCAAATTGCTTTGGTGATTTTTCTGATAAGAACTCCAGTTTCTGTCCCCTCTAACATCACCCAGTGGAGCTAAGAGCTGGGTGTACACTAGGGGTGGGCAAAACGTGGCCCGCCAGGCCATTCTGTCTGGCCCACGGAGCCCCTAAAAAACTTAGAAAATTAATATTTATCTACCCCTGGCTGCCTGTCATACGGCCCTCGATGGCTTACCAAAACTCAGTAAACAGCCCTCCACCCAAAATAATTGCCCGCCCCTGGTCTACACAATGCATATTTACTCATCTAATGGGAACACAGCATGCCCATTTGGTATCATAAGCTGTCATCTGAAAGGGTGGTGGAAATGGCCTGGCCATTCTCCAAGCTCTTGTGACTCATCTGAACTACGACCAGTATGTTGCACAAGAGCAGCCCAGTCCAGATGTGTCAGCCTAAGGGAGAGGTTAGTCCCAGACATGAAATCATCATGTAGTAATTTACCATTCTTAATGCTCACTTCTTTTCTGATTCTTAAACCCCAATCTACAATGTAATCATCAGTGTAAACCAAGTAAAAAAAAGTTAAGGACTCAAAGTCCTCTGAAGTCAATGGAAAGTTCCCTTTTGATTTCCAGGGTATTTTAAAAGAACAAGTCCCCAAATCTTTAGAAAACACAAAAGGGGAATCGTAAGTGAGAGCACTGAAGTGTTTCCAGAGAAAGAAGCATGTAACTCCATGATGGGCCCTTCTGAGTGTAACAGATTATAACAATTTCACTCTTTCTCTTATGATGGTTCTGAAGTGCTTTTAACCTGTGTTACGTACCAGTCTTAAATGCCTAGTACCGTGCTTTCCAAACTTTTCCTCAGCATAACCCCTCACTCCCAGCCCACAGCCCCCCATCCCCACAAATCCATCCACTGATGTTGCGACCCCATTTGGGGTCATGATCCACAGTTTGGGAACTGCTGTCCTTGTGTAAGATATCTTTCATTTTTCTCTCTCTCATCAGTATTTCAACTCCAGAAGCTGCCAACTAGTGCTTGGAGCAGGTGCATTGCAAGTTGTTGGTCTGAAAACAATAACTACAAAGAATTTAGGTATGGCCTTTTCTATTTAAAATGTTAAATCTCATGCACCAGTTCAATAAAACACTAAATATTCAGAGATAACTTATAGCATCAGAGGATAATTATAATATTATGCAAGATATATATTAGGATCATAAACTTTGTCCAAGTGCCTTGGAAAATAACAGGGCTTCTTTCTTCATATTCAGGGAAAGTATGTGATGAAAACTTGCGAAAGATCTGAGGAATGGTTTTTAAATCTGTGTCCAGCTCATCGTTAGTCTGTCAAGTCACTTTAAATACAAATCTGTTATGTTACTTGAAGATAGAAGAAATCAATATGTTGGCTATGGTAGTCTATCAGAATAATTGACTTTGGAGAAAATTACCTTGGCACAGATGGGGGAGCTGTTTGCTGTTTGGAGTATGTAGTATCTCCTTTTTTAAAAGCAACAGAAGCCTGTCAGACTTAAATTTGTCCTTGCCTTACACTTGGGCATATGGGGCTCCATGCTTTCTGTCCTATCTATTGGGAAAGGTTGCTGTTTTTTGTTAAACAGTGGTCATATTCAACTCCAGTAGTGGCTGCATTTCAGTAGCAGGTGGAGGAATTTCTTTGTATTTCTCCACCATCTGCCCCCAGCTTTACTCATCTAAAACTCCTGTGACTGTCAGCGTACCAAGTGCAGAATGCCTTAAGGGCTAAAACCACAAAGGGACTTTTGCATCATAGTTCTGGACTCCAAGGTGTGTGCCACCTATTGGAATCCACTGCTCTGAACTAGGTACCCAGGCTTTCCTGTGCAATATGCAGAGACCATTAGAAGCCTAAGATTTTTTCATGTCATGTGGGTTATACCAGTTTACTGTCAGTGGTGAAGGAATTGCAGATCACAAGAATTGTGGTAGAAGCCATGAGGAGCATGTTTTTCTCCCTGGGTCATGCAGAAGGAAGTTAACTGACATATTCAGGGTCACAGGATTTTAATGGCAGGGGGAAGGACTGAACCTGTGTCTCCCAGATGCCAGGCCTGCACCTTTATCCCAGGTCATCCTACCTCCCTTGGTGCTTAAAAATAGAAATCACTTATTAAATTCCCTGATCTGAACCTTCAGGCTGGCTAGGGAGCTGCCTGTGCTGATTAGTATGAAATCTGAATGTGGGCTAAGTGCCTAACTCCATGCTGGAGAGAAGCACATCCCTACACTTGAATGTTCACAGCTGTGCATCATCTCCTTAAAGTAAGGAGGGTTGGGGAAAGCAGCAGGTGATGGTAGAAGAGCATCAATTTGAATCTGGGTCTCCTGTCTCCAGCCACTAGACCTGGAGATGTTCTTAGGTGAGTCTCTGTCACTCGCCTGCTGAAGCTGTTCTACTCTGTAAATAAGTGTGTTGGAAGGGGACCAGAGCCCTCATCAGCAGGCAGTGGAGTCATTAGCCCTCCCCGTGGCCAAATGAAAGTATCACCATTTTATTAAAAAGGAAACGGGACAGATTGAGGCATGCTCTAACCCTTGGGTATGGGGAGGCATCATCATCCCTGCTTTAGGGCAGCAGGCTCTGAAAGCACCTACTGCTTTGGGCCCTACAAATGAAAGAGGTGTGGGAGTGTCTAGTTTGAGAATCTTGTCAGGAGTCAGATGGGAGCTAGGTCTCTGACAACCTCAGCCATGTCAGCATCTGGGTGGTTCTGCAAATGTGATCCACAAGCAAAGATGTAAGCATCACAGAGGTTAGGTGGCAGCTGAGCTGGGATCTTGAGCATCTCAGCAGAACTTGAATGTTGAACTTGGGCACCTAGGCCCCCATGTGGATTTAGTCCCAAGTCCTTACCTTGCACAGTGTTCTGCATCTTTGCCATGAATGTCTATATGGTAGGAACAGGGGCTTTCATTTTTACTAGACAATTCCTTAAACTATAATTCAAAGACCATCTTCTGCCTTGGTAAAAATTAACATGTGTGTGCTGCATCTCTGATGCAGGCTACCAGAAACCATACTGATTGTATAATCTGTGTTTTTCTCCTCTTCTTGCATCCGGATTTCCAGCTCTCTCCTCACGTTGCCTACAGTTAATAGTACACTACATTCCCACTATCCGGGCTCATTTCGAAGCTCGGCTGCAGCATAAGCAGTTCAGCGTGCTCAGGCATTTTGACCACATCACTAAGGTAATTCTTTATACGCTGTCTAATTACAGTCTGTAAATTCTACTTCACATTTGTGCTTGGAGGGATGTGGATGCCATTAGATAGTAAATGAAACCCTATTTTTTTTCATTACAGGATTATCATGACCACATAGCTGAAATTTCAGCAAAGCTTGTAGCCATAATGGATAGCTTATTTGACAAACTCTTATCCAAGGTAATGACATATGGAAATAACTATATTCTCTCTAAATTGCTTTTAGATGTCTCAGTGTGTACCGATGAGATGTATCACACAGACTGTAAACTCTTCCTATATAGGCATTATTTAAACTTTAAAGTCCACACAGACACAAGGCCTTCCACTGTATTTGAGAAATAGATCATTGAAGGCTGGATGCATGCATGTGTCATTAAACTGTATAAAATAAGCACTGATCATATCTTGAAACTCTTTTCTTGATGCAGTACCTGTTTAAGCTTTCCTTGTTAAAGACAGTACCATACCTGGACGCTTACATGCTTCATCAAGCTGCCTGGCTTATCTGGGAAGCCCTATCTGGGGGATGACTCTGGAGGGTTACCATTTCCAGTCGTTTCTAGTCCTTGAGGACAAATCCTGTGCTTAGCTCCTCAATGCACTAAATAGCCTCAGTGGCTGCAAAACTAGATGCTAACGAGGAAGAGCCAGTGCCACATGACCCAGTGCTGTGATTCTGCAGTTTGAAAATTCCTGACTTGTGGAGAGTTTGTATGAGAGAGGGGATAGCCTGATGGATGAGCCACTTGGCTGAGGCCTGGGAGAGCTGTGCTCCATTCCCACCTCGGTGGCAGACTTTGAGAGAGTCTTCAGTTTCCTTTTATAAACCCTTTGGTAAAATGGGAATGGGTAGCACTTCCCTTTTAGGGCTTCTGTAACGGCAAATGGCATTTAAACTTGAGGCACTTAGATACTAAGTTAAAGGGGGTGGGGGTGTAAGTGCCTGCATTTGCTGAAAACTATATTGGGCAATTAACGTGCTCTGTGCTTCATCTGTCTAGGCTAAATTCTTCCCCCTTACTTACCTAGACTAGTGTACTCTGCAAATAGTCCTGTCGATTGCATTGGGACTGCTTGCAAGTAGGTGGCAGAAGTGGGCCCTCCATTTGGATGATTAAAAAACTCTATGGATCCTCAGGTTTTTTGTTTTTTCTTCAAGCTGCTTCATAAGGAGATGTTGCTTTGGAAAAAATTAATCTTCTAAGTGACAGATCTGACTGACTTATGAAAACACATTTATTATAGCAGGCAATTAGAATTCACATATTAATTGCCCCAAATGGAGTGGATTAGGGAAATCTAGTAAGTGGTTGAGAGTTTGAGCGATATCGTTTTAGGCACAATTATTCAACCCACGCCTACGCTATGTTTCTGCTTAACTGTGGTATTTTTTTTTTTTACTGAAGCTTTGGGAAAATGCTATGCTTTTTTGCTTCTCAAATGCTTCATTGGGTTGGCAAGTGTTGCTGTTGATGAGACAGGTCAGCTTACCAGAGAGGGGGAAGCTAAAAAGGGGCTTTTTGTGCTCATTTGTTTTGTTACATTCAATTAGATTGTAGAAATGCATTAAAAAAAGCCAACGCTGTCAAGGTAATGAAGTCCCAAATAGTACATTGCCCACCTAGAAAAGTACTCCTCCAGTTTGTACAGTGTCTTTCAGATTGTTTTTTATTCCCATGCCATGAAAATAAGGACAGGTGGATCCTAGACGGGGTTACGTAGAAAAACATCACAGCTTTAATAGTGGGCTTTTCCAGATTGTAGCTGACGTGCCTCCAGGTCAAGCCATCTTTCCATTTTCCCCACTCCTTTCCTGCTTGCAACTGTAGTACAAAATACTGGAAACCCTTTCTAGCAAACCCTCCCATTTGCAGCACTTATTGCCCTCTGTTGCCTCAGTAGCTTCAAATGACAGCACATAGTAATAGGTGCTGTCTCTGATAGGTAGGATTTTTGGGATTGGTCCCTTTGTCCCATGAGTTATTTTTTTGCGTTTCCTTTCTCAGCAATCCCAGTTTTGTCTCTCTTAAGCATTGCAAGCTGAATTGTCTGGAAGTGTATCAGACCCAGCATGAGCACATGTAGCTCTAAGTTCAGCAGTTTATAAACTAATACTAATTTCCGATGCTTTATTTATAGACCTTTCAGTGCTTTACAGTTCAGAATGAGAATTGTCTCCTTTTTTCAAAGACAAGAGCACTGAGAGAGAATACCTAAACCCATTTAAACCATGCCTGAGCTTGGAATGTACTCATATCCAGGAGATGGCAGACCAGGCTTCACTGCTGCAGCTGGGATGTTTCCTTTAAGAAAAGCTTTTAGAATCACAGTATGATCTCCTTCTGGGTGTGGGAACATAATGATGTTGTCCCCAAGGTAGCAGATCTCCTATTGTCTGGCAGCTTTCAGTAACATGTTTCTCAGGTATCAGTCAGTCAGTGAAAAGGTTCCTCTCATCTCATTCCCCCTGCAGCGTTCATCTTCGTTCTTTAGCACCTCTCCATTCTGTCAGTGGTTTTTACCACTTCCTTGGCATATGCTTAGCTTTCAGCAGCTCCAATCTTTATTTTTTTTGTCTTTGCCAGAACCTGACTTGCATGTTCTTGGAAGATTACTTTGTTCTCTCTTTCAGATGCATGCACTGGAATGATAAGGGGGCAGACATCCTAGGTAGCATTGTTTCCCAGTAACTGTGGAGAGAACACTCCTGCCAAAGAAAGCCTGGCCTAGCTCATATGACACATGGTGAAAGCACACATTTAGCTGTCATGTTAATCCTTCTCTCCCTGAAGTAGGAATAGTAGATGTAATGTGAAACAACTCTGAATAACGAGCAGAGAAGCAACCATACCTCATGCAATCACATGAATAGGGTGTGCAGGGGGCTGGGAGGAGAGATGCCACTTTCATTCCTGTTTATGAGGAAGTTAGCTTGATTATGAAAGTGCCAGCAATTCTATAATGTAAGTCATTGGGGCAACAGTAGCTGATCATGGACAAAGCCATTTTCTTGTAAATGATACTCAAGAACTTGTTCATGTGAGAAGCAGCCAAGAACACTCTCCTTTTGACCAATGTCTAATTGTTGCATAAGAAGATCCCTACAAAAACCAGTGCAGATGCTGGGAAGCAAGTGATCGATTTGATCTTTATTTTGTCACCAGTATGAAGTGAAAGCTCCTGTTCCTTCAGCCTGCTTCAGGAATATTTGTAAGCAAATGGCAAAGATGCATGAAGCTATATATGACCTCATTCCCGAGGAACAAACCCAGGTGAGCATAAGTAATTATTTTGAGTACAGTAACGGTATTGTACTGCTATTATCATAAATGCTCATTGACACCTGACCTTGGGAGACTTTCCACAAGCAAAAGAATCACTTCTGTGACTGTGTATGGACAGTGTATGGATACTATTGCAGTATGTTTGGTATAGAGCAAAACAAATATTCTGAGTCTTTCAGGGGCTGGGTACAGGGCAGTTGAGCATGGAAAACTGAACCTACGTGCTATGTGGCCCACTTTTACATCAAGCTCACACTTGATATCTAGATAGATATATCCTGAACACTGGCAGGAATTGTGAAATGGCAATAATTTGATCCCATGTGTAGTTGCTTCAGAGGATCTTAGAATTATTATTGAAATCTACAATAAAACAGCTCTAATAATGTTTACACTGAATTTAACAATGGATTGATTTCTCGTGTCACTGAATCTCCTGTAAGACCAGACTTTGCTCTTCTTTTAATGTTTGGCTACAGTTAGTGCTTTTGTAGATGCCAAGGCTGGGAAAGGTTGTTATGGTCACTTGGTTGCAATCTGCCTGCCATGATAGTAAGAATCTTGTGCTTTAGTGAAGGGTTTTACTTTGTTACAGAAGAAAGATTTATTGTTTTGCCCTTTTTTGGATGTGCTACCATCTTTAGCCCTAAGGAGCTTACAACTGAACTGCCAGACCTGACAGGCAAGTGATAGTCTTCCTATAACCCAGAAATGGGAAGAGGAGTTGGAGAAAAGACAGATTACAATGGTGGGTGGGCAGCTAAGTAATGTGCCCATCCTAGTTGTTCAAACATCTGGCTGCTGTTAGGTGTAACAATCACTTTTCTTTTCTGCAAGCTATATGAAGAAGGGAGTTTTTAGGCCTGGTAGGAATGAAGGGATGTTCCTTTACCTGTTTCTGTTAAATACAGTTTGCTTATTTTTGTGGTGTCTTTTAGATGTTATTTTTAAGAATTAATGCGAGCTACAAACTTCATTTGAAGAGGCAGCTAGCTCACCTAAATGTAGTCAATGATGGAGGACCTCAGAATGGGTATGTATGGGCACTTGTTTCAGTGCTTCACTGAGGCACTGATAAATTCCCCTGCTCTAATCCAAGTGCAAGTCTGCATTATAGTTAGAATGCAACAGATGTGCTGAGCTCTGCTGGAGGGGGCAGCTTGCCCTTGACCTTGGCACTACTTTTCAAGCATACAAGAAATATATAAAAGACAGAGCATCAGGAGTCTGGGTTCTTTCTTGCACGGCCACAGATCAGTTGTTGGGCTTTTGGATGCATTGCATTAATCTGTATCTGTCCTGTTGCCCTTCCCCTCTCTCCTTCCCTCCCCAGTGTACTTATAATAATCAGTATCTAAATTGCAAGAATGACATGATGTTTGAAGTTGGAAAATACAACTGATTCAGGGATATGGATTATGCAAGAAAAGCTTACATTGTATAGGGAGATTCCCTGCAGGAAAGTGCTTAGGTGGGGATGACTGCAGGAACCTATTGGAATTAGAAGTCCAACCTCCTTTAAGTTTGCTGGTCTATCTGAACCTCTTAGTTACAGAGAAGACAGCTGGAGCCAAAAAATCTGAGAGTTATTAGAGCACAGAAGTAATGTCATACTGACTGCTAATAACTCTTCTTATCCCAACTCAAAATTAAGTGATGGGGACCTCAAGGCCACAAGTTACCTCTGAATCAGCATGATCACAAACCCTAGTTATGTATAAGCCCACATCTCTTGCCTGTTTTTCTAAACACATTTGATTAAAAGTATGATGCTAATCTTGTTCCTTGTATTTCACTGTAGACTGGTTACATCAGATGTAGCGTTTTACACTGGAAACCTTCAAGCTTTAAAAGGCCTTAAGAATCTAGATCTAAACATGGCTGAAATCTGGGAGCAGAAGAGGTGATGATAATCCACTGGAAGCAGTCAGTTGGCTCTGACAAGAAAATGTCTTGCTTTCAAGGAGCTTGAAGCCTGTGAGGTGAATACTTAAGGCTGGAGGCCACGAGAGGACCTTATTGCTATTTGGGGAAACTAAATTCCAAGTGAGCTGCAGGGGTTGACCTTTCAGTGACCTTCAGCAAGAAAAAAAGTGATCAGCTGTCTGTGCAATGTTTTTCATTCTTTCTGGAAACAGACTCAGGTTTCTTTGGACCAAATCCAAAAGAACACATAGCTGTAACACAGCTGTAGTTGTCTAGAATGCTCTGTATATCTTTATATTAAAAAGATGCTTTGCATTTCCTCTAGTGCAATGGAAGTCACATGGTGTCCCACTTTAATGATGGTACAATATAAAATCTTGCAGTTGAACTCTGTAGAAAAATGTTTTTCTCTATGAAACTATGCTGTTCTAAAATTTATTTTTTTACAGATCTTTATACAAATAAACAGCTTTTGATTGCTTACATATAGGATTCAGATTTGTTAGGAAGCAGTCCATGTTTCAGGGTATTTCTCACTGCTGGGTTCTTATACTGCCACCAGGAAGATTTTTTTAGTAGAGTCTGGTTCACTTAAGCCATTTTCTAGTGGCTAGATTTGGAAGTGATAACTATTAGCACTGATCAGAAAAACATACTGGACGTAGTAATGTTCAGAAGTAGTATAAGGGCTGGTGTTCACATACTTCACATAGATACCAAACCCATCCTATTCATGGTGGAAGCAGAGTACCTCTTTGCAAGATCCATCAACAGTGGACTTTCAGTACTTTGCCAATTCCTATACACACAGGCCTGTCCCACCCACTTTTTTTTGTTAATTTTAAACACGGCATTAACAGTGTATATTTTAAGAGGAGGAAGGGACAGGGCAAGTGGTGTAGAAATAATTTTAAAATGAGAGGCTGCTGTACACTTGTAAAGCTACACCACTGCAGTACAGGGAGGTGTGAGGTGATGACAAACTAGTTTAATTTATTGAAAACTTGTTTTTAATACTACCTTTTAACACTGGAAGATACCAGTACTCAGTAAAAGTGCCTGTGTATTTCACCTCACAACTTTTTACCTAAACATAGTCCGAGTGCCTAACCTTGTGATGATTATGTACAATGGAATGGTCTACAGTGTTTGTGTGCCTATGGTTTCTTCAGACAGGCATGCTTATCTTAACACAACAGATGTCATTAAATGTCAATCAAAATAAAGCTATAAAAATCACACTTGTTTTTAAAGACCAACTTCTTTAATGATACAGGCCAGTGTTTTACTAAGCTTACAAAATAAGTTGCCTACGTGTAAATACAATAGAAGCATAAAGAAGTTTGAAAGAATGATCACCAGGATGAGTCTTATTTTAAAACGTACATAAATTTAGAAATAAGTTATTTTCATTTGGGTCAACACATGATTAGTATGAACATGAGCACAGTCAATATGATATTCTTTATGTTGCTTCAGAGAAGGGAGATCAAATTGAAGACATTAAAAAGGAGATCCACTCTTAACTAGAACATTCATACACAGAGGTATTCTCCTATATTCAATTCTTTGAGCAAGTTTGAATCGGCAACAAATCCAGCTGTCTTGCAAGACATAAAGGAGGTATTGACAAACTTACCCCAATCTGATTGGGGGTATATTTCTGATGTGATAGCATGGCATCTGTAAATGTGAACTATTAAAGTTATGTGGCGGTGAAGAAAGTGACTAGGACTATATAATACTTGTGAGCACTTGAAATACAGGTTCTTAATAGCTTACTTCCTGTAGTAGCAGTAGTGAAACATTTGGTTTTTAAATCAATGTCTGCCACTTACAGTTCATAAAAGTGTTACCTGAAGTAGCTAACCCTATTCCAAGGATATTGCTTCACAGCTTTGTTTTTGCAATTACAAGCAATTCAAAAACTATTCAGAGGCAAGCCTCAAACATCTCAGATCTGTTCATCTTGTCTTGAGACAAACAGTATATTGCACTTTAAAGATGCAATTAATAAAACCTTTAAAGACTGAAGCATTACTTCTGCACATCCTTTGCACTATGGTGTTTGCTTAAAAAAGGATAAGCATGGAAAACTACTTGAAATTAATACTGCAGGGTACAGTGAGATGACAAAGCATAGGCCCTCTGCATTTATTTCTAATGCTTGCAGGTTCTTCCATTGTGGGGCAGTTTCAGCACAATCTAGAGAGCTGAAGATGCCACGTCACTGACTTAGTGGTCCAAGATGCGGAGGTTGCCGGAGACAATTTTGTTCTCTAGTACTGCGCCAGGCGGGATGTCGATCCGGTCTCCATGATTTGCAATGATGATAACTGTTCCCTAAATTTAAGAAAAGAGTAAGCATTTAAGAACGTAACCCATTCTGTGTGAATTCTACTATAAAAGTGTCTGACAGGAGGAAGCAAGGTTTCTGCTGTTCACTGAACCTCTGTGCAATGGTAAAAAATCCTAGAGCATTCTCTAGCAGTGTTATAGTGGGCCATACTCTTTAAATTTTGATTTAAAAACTATGAAAAAGGTCTTTAACTATACAACTTGTTCAGCAACTAGAGTTTCAAGCCCACTAGCAACTTTATTCGAAACGTCTTTCCTCTGTGTACTCTTGATTCCTATCTGCATGCTTTGGGGACAGAAATTCACTGTTTATGATGTTGCAGCTGTGGACAACATGCCGTCACACTTCAAACTAGAGGCTTGGGGCCCAAAAGATGGGAACACCTGTGACTGC